AGTGCATTCCTGTATTTAGGCGCAAGTTCATACAAGTTAATATAAGTGAATACAAGTCAACTGCCTTCTCTCTATAACTTTATTAGAAATACTACAGACATCCGGGTATGTTTATTGTCTATCGCTTTGATGTAGTAATGAAGCAAGCTTACTTTTTTTTTCTTTCCAGGTCATCAAACACTTGCATTATTCTAAGCTTGAAATGGACAATAACTGGATCAAATACAAGTGTAAGTCTGGTCAGACTTTGTTTATCTACAACAAAGTGACAGGAGAACACAAGTGGCCTACTGATGTAAGTTCTCTAAAGTTTTCAAGTTTTCAGGAGAAAGATCCAATGGGGGTACTGGTCAGGGGTCTRAATGTGATTCAATTTACTAGTAGTACTGTAGACATAAACTCTATTCAGCTCTGGTGTTTTCACAAGGTGACTTATAAAGAGGTTCAGCTGTACTATGATCACCAAGGGAAAATGTTTAATATAGTCACTGTTACCTATTAATCCAATGAACCTGTAGACTAGTCCTGATGATATSAGTAGAGTAAATTACCAACTCTGGTAGAGGACAAACCTCTAAAAAAACAGCAGGGAAAATTAGGGCCAAAKTTCACCCATGTCAGTGAATGATTGGAAAAAAYAATTCTAATTTTACCCTTGTCCTACTCATGAAGGAGGGATGTTTAATGCTGAAATTTATGTCTCTCCAAATACAATAGAATTAGTAAGCTGGACTTGATATTATTGATATTTGACAATTAATTAGAGGTTGAATGGACTGTGAGTTGATAGTCCATRATAATGTCATACTAGGCCAATAGTCTCCTTCACGGTTCCCTGCGCCATCTTGAAAGGTAGCCGTGCCTTTGCATCGAAGCGAGACGACCGTTGAGCTTGCAATGATAGAAACCTTTTTTCACAACTACAGACAATTATTCACAGGTATCTATCATTGCACGCTCAACGGTYGTCTCGCTTCGATGCAAAGGCACGGCTACCTTTCAAGATGGCGAGGGAATCGTGAAGGAGACTATTGAAGTAGTTATCAACTCATACTTCACAAGACCAAGTGGTCTAATTGTTTTAGTATACACCAAACTATAGGGCTTGATATAAAAATTACCATTAAAAAGGGGTTTTTTCATTGCTGCATTCAAAACGACAGCAAGGTCTGTTATAGATTTACATTATAGATAGATAGTTGATTGAAAACTAAAATTTCAGAATGAAGGCCAAGTTCAGTAGCCAATCTGAATAATGAATTTGTGATATAAAACCCAGCATAGTTTGGTGACTTGATATGATATATTTGTTTTATTGTTAATCTATGTGAATCACTTCATGACAGGATTCAACAGAAGAAAACTGTGTCATGATTGGTGAGCCAGTTGTGTACAAAGACATGTGTAGTACTGCCACACAGACAGATGATAATGGCTGTAATAATGGCTGTACTTCTATSTACATCAACCTAGATCATTCAACCAACGACACAGAAACATCGCCACAGCACTACAGTGAAAGAGAAGGATTGGATATTGAACATGGTGTACATGCAGATAATAGACTTGGTGCTGGAGATAGAGAAGTGGCAARCATGTTCATGGATGAAATTGATGCAATGTTGAAAGTGCTTGAAGAAACAAATGTCAATGTAGACAACAGCAAAACWACAGATTCTTCTGTTGAAAATAAAGGCATTGGTGTAGATAAGGAAAGCGAACTTCAAGAGCAAGAAGGAAATGACATCAATCAATCACTAGATATCATACTGGCAAGTGACGATAATCAAGCAACAGTTTCTCCTCTCGGCAAGTCAGTTGGGTCTAAGGCAAAATGTTTTCACTGTCCTAACTGTAAGAAAACCCTCAAAACAAAATCTGAATTGAAAGTTCATTTACGCACCCATACTGGAGAGAAGCCATTTGAATGTTCTTACTGTAAAAAGAAATTCAAATACAAGTCACAGTTGGTTGATCACACAAGAACTCATACTGGAGAGAAGCCATTTGAATGTTCTTACTGCAAAAAGAAATTCAGATACAAGTCACTGTTGGTTTATCACACAAGAACTCATACTGGAGAGAAGCCATTTGAGTGTTCTTACTGCAAAAAGAAATTCACACAAAGGTCACTGTTGGTTTATCACACAAGAACTCATACTGGAGAGAAGCCATTTGAATGTTCTTACTGCAAAAAGAAATTCACACAAAGTTCACAATTGATTAAACACACAAGAATCCATACTGGAGAGAGGCCATTTGAATGTTCTTACTGTGTTAAAAAGTTCAAAGTAAAGTCTCAATTAACAAAACATATAAAAACCCACACYGGAGAGAAACCATTCGAATGTTCTTWCTGCAAAAAAACATTTAGAGAAAATATAACTTTAAAGTATCACCTTAGACTTCACACTGGAGAAAAGCCATTTGAATGCTCTTACTGCGAAAGGAAATTTGTTCAAAAGATAAATCTTATTATTCACACAAGAACCCACACTGGTGAGAAGCCATTTGAATGTTGTTAYTGCAAAAAGAAATTTGCTGAGAAGAATACCTTGAAAGATCACTTAAAAACYCACACTGGAGAGAAACCATTTGAATGTCATTACTGCAAAAGGAGGTTTTCACTGAAGATGAATCTAAAGAATCACATAACATCCAAGCACACWGGAGAGAAACCATTTGAATGTTCTTACTGCAAGAAAGTATTTGCAGTAAGGAGGTATTTGACTGAGCATCTAAAAACACACACTGGAGAAGAGCGCTTTGAGTGTTCTTACTGCAAAATGAAGTTTGTACGAAAGAGTCATTTTTTGTGTCACCTAAGAATCCATACTGGGGAGAAGCCTTATGAATGTTCCTACTGCGAGAARAAATAYGCAATAAAGAGTGATTTGAATCGTCATTTAACCATCCACACCGGAGAGAARCCATTYGAATGTTCCTACTGCAAAAAGAAATATAGACTAAAGAGGACCTTGGTGGACCATTTAAGAMTTCACACTGGAGAGAAACCATTTGAATGTACCTTCTGTAAAATAAAATTTACTCATAGGAATTCATTTAAGAGTCACCTAAAAATACATGCTGAAGGGGAGCCCTCTGGATGAACCTACATTGAATTTGGGCAAAAGTGCATTTTTAATTACAATTATTTGGCTTAAAAATAGAAATGATTAGTACATGACTGTACAGTAATAGCAAAGAGGCAAGATTTGCTGTTACTCTGAGTTTCATGCTTCTTGCCTCTTATAGTTATAAAAAAGAAAACTAAAAAATCATTGTTTAATAAGTCAATAAATAAAAAAGACGAGAGAAAACTAAAATTGTGCTTTAGGATGCAGATTTTAGTTTAAGACCATTTATTCATTCCAATGCAAGTTGTAGACTTTTCTTATTAGCTATCTTTTTACTATCGTGCAATGAAATAAAAGTCTTTTGCTCATCAATATTAACATATAACGACAGTTGAAGACAATGAAACGGGTCCAATCTATAAAACTAAAAAGGAAAGGTCTCAATTCACCGATCCCTTCTTCACAACATTAATCACCAAACAGTGAGCAGTTTTCCCAGTGGAATTGAAACTGTCCGAGCAACAAATGTACAAAATCGAATATTTTTCCTAAAATCATTAGTATTTTTTTATGAAAATGTAATTTAAACAAATATATCACACAAGGCAAGTTCCTATACATATTGTAACAATCTGTATCTTTTCCATGCTCTATATCAAAAGGGATATTTTCACTAGTAATAATAATAATAATAATAATATGTGGTATTTRTATAGCGCCGATATCCTCTGAGTTCAAAGGCGCTTCACATGTATAGATCATTTCACACGGACCGCTGTTTAAGGCGCAATTGGCAGCCACGCGGCTTACAATCATGAGGGGTTAGTAATTAGTATGGGTTAGTAGTATAAGGCCAAGGCCTAGCCACACACACAGGGAATCATTCCCTACTCTTATGCGAACAGTGGTGTGGGTTCTTTAACGTCCCTCTAATACAGGTTAGTGAGTGAAGTGTAGAGAGACGGGACCTCCGATTTTACGTCGTTATCCGAGAGGACGAGAAGATCTTACCATTTGCAGATGGAGAAAGACAAAGGCAGCAACTTCTCCTCAATTATTTTAAGACCCTGAGTTTTGGTCCAGCCGGGGTTTGAACCTGCGACCTCCCGCACTAATGTCCGATGCTCTACCTACTGAGCTAACCGGTTGGCGGTGTCTGACGTAGCAGAGAAGAGTGAAGGGGATTTTATTTCATTGTTTTTGTGCTTTGGCTCTAACAACTTACCTGTTAGCCTTTGCATTACTACTTGGTTTGCAATGCATTGTGGGATAAGTTTCTAGAGAACACAAAAGCAATCTGGCATGCTTTGTCGCTAACTTATCCTACAATGCATTGCATATATGGTATATGATGTACAAGCTTCAGATGTCTATATTTTATTTGATTGGCATAAATCTTGGAATCCTATAATTTGCACGCATTGTTCATTAATATAATAGCTGCATATCAAATACATTCATAAGATCAGGGTTCGTACAGATTTGTTCATACAAAATTCAAGGACTTTTCAAGAACTTTTTAAGGATTAATTTTCAATATTCAAGGACTCTAATTACAAAGAGAAAAATACATCAGTTAGTAAACTTACTAACACTGCAGTCCATTTTTTTAAGAACTTTTTCTTTTTGAGAAGATTTCCCTCAATCTCTATTAATTTCTTGGCCGCCATATTGTACAATAGTACAGCAAGTATCGCAAAAAGGACTGAGTACTTGTCATTTAATTTGCTTTAAAGCTTGGCTAAATTGATCCCCAAAACATTACTTACAACAACCAAGACTGATTCAAGGACTACATTATCACTTTCCAAATTCAAGGACTTTTCAAGGAAAATTTGCAGTCAAGGACTTTTCAAGACTGTACGAACCCTCTGTAAGATTTGTACATGAAGTCTGTGAATTAGCTAGAATTTTTGGAGGGACAGGAACCCCAACAAAAGACAGCAAAAGTAAATAGTTAACTACCAGACCCTGTTTGATTGTTTTTCTTTTTAACTAAAGTAACACAAATGGATTTTAATTAAAATTAGAATTCAGGGGTTAAAGGGACACTGTCAATGGATGACATGCGCGAGTAAACTTGAAAACACTAGGCTAGTGTTTTCAAGCTTATGACTCCAAGTTGGCGCGACATAAATCAGATCGTAAACGTAAACAGATCTAGAATATTCCAAAGTGTGTCAAAAGCACCACAAAATGATTTACCTCGAAGGTTATACTTTCAAAGTCCGTTAGAGGTGAGACTGTTACTGCGCATGTCATCCATTGACAGTGTCCCTTTAAGTGTAAGGACTCTAGCATAAGATCATGAACATTCCTAGTAATATTTTGCATACAAGTAATGACTGATTGAAAATCCAGAATACAATTTTCTGAATAAGTAAGCTTAAATAGTCAAACATTTGGTTTTCTATTCCAGTCAATTCAAAATGGCAAAATTTATAGTGATTATGAAGCAATTTTTTATTTCATTTTGAAAAGAGAATCAATATGAAGATAAATTTAAAAGAAAATTGGATTTAAAAAACTATTACTAGAGCACATCAGATCTATAATGTCATCAAATTAGCATAATAGATTTTTAACTTGAAAAATTTGAAGCCTACATCCAGTGGTCTTAACCAAGCTGTTATTCTTGTTCTATTGACTCTATTTTTCAATTAAAGAAAACTCTTCACAAGCACTTAAAAAAAACTTCTTAACCACAAACATTCAACAGACACTTCCAGGAGTTCATCTGTTAAAACTTAGTAGTTCACTTGGCTTTCTTGAAATATTTGAAGTTAAATAAGCAACTTCAAATAGTGATCTACAGTGTTTGCATTTCATATAATATTTTAACAGAAATTATTATTTATAAAACCTGACAAATCCCCTACAATTTGAATACCTTCACCAATTATAATAATCATAATCTAAAGAATATTGTTATTAGTTGCGGAAATTTTGGTGCAGTTCAGGTTGAATGTCGTACACCAACTCCAGGATTCTTTTGATAGCAGCTTCTTTGTTTTTGTTCACATTATCTGTCATCTGTGTCAGTTTAACTTGAGTGTTTTCATCAATTTTAACTTGGAAATCATCTTTAGAACCCATATGCTAAAATCAAAGGCATTTCACTTGAGGTTTACATAATAGACTGCACAAAATACATATAAATCATTACAATGAAGGGGTTTAACAGCAATGTCAAAGCTGCAATAGCAACAATTGCAAAATTATGCCTATCGATAACTATTGTGATAYTTAACCTTACTATTGATAGTTAAGTTGGACCACATGACACAATAATGCCGCAGCCAAGGCATACTTATCAGTCGTTAAAGAATCATAACCACCCGTCGTACCTTGCGTGCTCGCATTATTGTTTACATACGTTTAAATGCGTCAAACATACAATAAATTATAGATTGATAGTAACTGTGAGGTACCTAGTCAAAGGTATTTCTGTCCAAACTGAAAGGACGGAAGACGATTTGCGCTCACGTTAAGAAATCCTACAAATCCGCCATTTTCGTGTCATCGTAAAATGGTAAAAAAAAAGAAAAAAAGGCGGGTGGTTATGATTCTTTAATATCTCACTGAATCATTGTAATTCATGGTATATCTCATATTTCCCTGACATTATAAATATCTAGTAGTCTCTAGCTCAATGTTTTAACAGATGTTTCGATCTGGTCTCACATCTTCTTCAGTGCAAATTATTCCAKATTGAATCCTAGCTGCAACAACCATATAGATCTATACAGCTTGCTGCATAATGTACTGATATAATTGGCAGGCATTATCTTGTCGTGCGATCAACTTTTGACCAATGAAAACAGATGTATTTCTAGTTGAATATTATTGATTGATTGGTTTGGCATTCTAAGTACTTTGTTTCCTTTTGATCTTTACAAACAAATATTAATTGACATAATCACTTCGTTTAATTAAATGTTCAAAAGAAAAATTATGGTATTATCATCKTGTACGGGAAACCTCAGGGGAGTTTATTATAATGCAAATCTTCCATTTGCAAATTARTTCTGACGATTATTTGTAATTCACTTTGTTCTTAATATTAATTATTTTGTGAAATKTTAATAARAAATTGTTTAAATACTGAAAAAAGGACTCAGTGYAACCAAGCGAATTTAYTTTTTATTTTTATTTTATTTGCTTTGTCACAAGGTGACTGGGAAGCCGCAACAACATGTAACATAACGGTTACATTTAGGGTTAAGGGTGTACTGACATATCCGTTTCTAGACGACCTGGTTGCTATGCTAGCCAATCGCGCGGGCGCACACGTTTTCATGGCGGGAAAAGTTTTACTTCCAGTGGAAAGGTTTTTGTTTACATATGTACATGTAAAATGTATGGTATCATTTAAAAATATAATCTTCGGCTCGAAACACCAAAAGGACGTGTTTTTTCAATATTTATGTTGTTCACAGCCTCCTCTTCAGAACCAAGCATGGGTTTGGCAAAAAATTAAAAAATACGAAAGTTATTGGCATTTTTCGCTTATTTCTGGCATTTTTAAAAAAAATCATAAAAAGCTTATTTGTCAATCATTCTAAAAACGCATGCTAGGCTTTACGGACTTAGAACTGAAGATTCATTTTATCCATTWTAAATTGTTTATTTTACTTTGCTTGATGAAATTATAGCCTTTTTCTAAATTTATGACGTCACATGATGACATAATTCATTGACGTCATGGAATATGTTATTTTTTTGGGGGGGAAGGCTAAATATCCAATACAAAAGCGATTTTACTTTTTTTAGTCATTTTAGAGAACTACTGAATTTCCCTAGCAATGGATATGTCAGTACGTGTACCMTTAAGCGTCAGATAGGTATTCATGTATTTAGGGTTCGCTGGTTCAAATCTTACTTGGAACAGTTTTTTTGCTAAGCAAGGAGAACTAAAATCCTTAAACATTTCTAAGTCCCACTCATGTGTTCAGAAACCTATGACATATTTGTTTACACAGTACACGATGATATTACCAAAATTTCTCTACTCGTGCAAGTATGTCTTTTAATACCTCTATTTTGTATTCTTGGAATTGCTTTTCTCTCTCTGCTTTGTAGGCATTGATTTCTTCTACAGCCTCTTCTTTTGCTTGCTTCAGTCTTTTAGTTTTACCTTTTGTAATAATGATGCTAACATTAATCTTTTTACCCAACGTAAAATAAGCTTTTAGTATAAGCTTACATGTATAATTTATAGCTCAAATCACTAGGGATTAATTCGCATCTGTACAAGTATAAAGAATCTTTTAAAAAGAATAAATACATTTAAAATTCAGTAATCCATAACGAAGGGTTGGATGAATTACAAAAGAGCGGAAAAAAATCTACTACCTTGCATAGTAAACTTTCACGCTAAAAATATGATAGAAGAAAAGCATGTACGATCTCCGGTAAGTTACACAACAAACCAGACATTTTTACACATCAAAATTATATGAAATTATTACAATAGTWAGCGTAATAAGTTTCCTAYGTATACATACGCTTTCTAGCATCTGCTACTAAGTCTGCAGCCTTCTTTTCAGCGGCTAAAAGTTGTTGAATTCCTTGCGAATGAGACGCCATCTTGGATTATCTTCGACTGATGATCACATGATGTAATTATGATCCAGTCCTCTGCAAGATTAACTCACAGGAAGCCCACAGTACTTGTCAAAACCAGTTACTGTAAAGACGACAACRGAGTCATTTGCATACATCATATTTTTAATTCTTTGCAAAAATATWCAACCGTAAAGTACCAAAAGCTCTTGACAATGTCAATAACCTTTCATTCGCTATATATCGAAAGTTTAGAATTAAAATTCTCCCAGGAATGTCAGGAAATTTAAAATCGGTTTTATGAAAATTGTAATGCAGGGATGCCAACTCTCCCGGATAATCCGGGAGTCTCAAGATTTTCGACTGTTTCTCCCGGTCTAAAGATTTTACCGCTAAATCTCCCGGATAATGACGATTCATATATCAGTTTTTTGAAATATCTCTTTTCATCTATTAAAACTCAAATTACCTTGCATATCATTTTAGTTCTGAAAAAAATACAAAAATCCCAGTCTTCTGATAACAATAACACTGCACAACATCCGCGGCCATTTTCAATTGCACAATACAATCTATAATATGATTGGTTAAGATCGGCATCGAATCAAATCACTAGTTATAACGAAATTTGATAAATGCGATGACGTCATCGATAATGTTATGAAACGTCATTTTCGTTCATGTATATTATCTCAAGATTTTAAAAGTTCGGGGGTTGGCATCCCTGGTAATGTGTGTATATGTTCATTAAAAAAAAAAACAAATAAAAAAACCACAGCAACAACAACTTGAGCAGTATCGAGAATCCGCTGTTGTTATTCTTTGTCTTTGTCCAGGAGCCCGTTGCTAATAGATGAGGTGACGGTTTTGGCGGCCATCTTGGCCGGTAGGCATAGTGTCGCAAAATAACCAGGATAGACCAAATAATTCCCGCTGAATTCAATTTCGGAGAAAATTATCAATTGCAAACTTTAGATAATGTAAAAAGGAGTTAACTGGCCAAATTTGAAGGGCGTACTTGATCTAGAGAGCGAGTAAACTCATTTTTAGTTCTCCATACATTTCTTTGTAATTTCCGGGGTTATCAGCGCGTGACGCGTTTGAAAAAAAATGAGCCCAAAAAATCAAAAAAATTATTTATTYATTATTCGTGAATAAAGAGTTGTCGCATATTGTAACACGCTTTTCTTGAGAAGTTTTTGAATCTGATACCGTTGATTTTTCAGTATCCAATCAAAGTTCTAGTTTATTTTAGACGTTGCAGCACCATAAACATTGCCACCATAAATATTGCGCAGTCCCTATTAGTCCCTTTATGGACTCCTGTCTTGGYGTTATAATATATTTTGTTGTTTTTGTTATTGTCATTGTTGTGGTGGTAGTGTTGCCGATGCTGTTGCTGTTGTTACTGTGTCGTTAATGTTATTCTCGTTGTTGTTGTTGAGTGTTTCAGCAATCTCAAAAAGGTATCGAGTTGTCTGGGGTTGACAGCCTAAATCAATTAGATTAGGGGCGCGCGAATCGAGGATTTGTCTTAAAAAATCTTAGTCACACTTGTTAAAAAGTAAGGCATATTAAGCTTCTTTCTTGAATTCCGAAAACTTGTCTAGAAACACTGTTGACACACAAGTCGCCAACAATTCAGTGCGCATTGTAACGTGTCTCTCCACAACTTTTTTCATCGCGCGCAGTGTTGCACTAGGTAGGACTCAGGTGTCCTTGAATGCTATTGCACATGTGTATCATCCCTCCGTCAACGTTTTTCTGATGCCAATGACGTAGGCTGTTAGAACATGCGCAATAGGCAATGTGCARCGACGCCATTTTGATCAGCAAAGGATCACGGTAGTTGTAGTCCTCGCACTTTTATATATGGCCGCTAAAACAGTCCTCCTACCCAGTGTTTGTTATTCTAACCGAAAATTGAAGTTTGTGCCGTTTCAAAAAAGAAAATGTGAAAACGGCTTTTAAGGAGATATTTTAGGGTCTATGAAAAGTGCGAGGATTACAACTACCATCATGCTTTGCTGCACAAAATKGCGTCGCTGCACATTGCCTATTTGTATTTTTGGGTGCACCCTATTTTGATTCTGGCTCTCAGCTTATCTCGGCCACAAAATATTGGAAGTGTTGGGGAAAAATACACAATGTAGAATGGCTATAATTTTTCTCGGAAACTTTTGTCTCCAATGCATCTTTATCGAAACAAGTTGCTGAGATAATTGCACGGTGTACAAGGGAACTCGCCTGCCCGGCGGAGAATTAGAAAGGTAATTTACTCCTGACGCTTTTAGGGACTGTGCAATAATTACCAGGAGGGGGGGCGTAAAACCAGATTTATTAAGCAGAAAATTAGTTAGAACCCAAGAACACAAGAAAATAGCTCTTACCTCCCCTCTGCTATATTAGAAATAACCCTAACCCC